TGAATCTCAGATTCAGATGAATCACCCGGAGTTGAAAATATTAACAGAGTTCCTTGCCTGTAAAGTAAATGGAATTATTTCTTTACTCTGGTAGCCTGAATAAAAAGGTTTCTCAAACATATCTAGAAGTTTGTAAACAACACATTTATATCTTTTAATTTAGGAGGTGGTCTTAAAATATATAAATTTGTTTTTCTACCTATAATTGATATGACCAAATTTAAGGGAAAAATTAAATGATACCCTGCAAACATAACTATGAAATAAAACTATAGCACTTTATTAAGAAAGGTGTGTGATGCTATTTAACATATTTTATATATGACTTTTGCCACAATCCTATAATTTTTTGCTTAATTTTTTTCCTGTTAATTATAATTAAAATAATCCTAGATAACAGATACCACTCAATATTTATTACAACACATGAGTTGTGTTGATTCACAAAACTGGGTTTGTTGAGATGGGGGTGTCTTAATAAGAAAGAACCTTTATTTTCTTGACTTTAAACCTATGGGACAAATAAATAAATAAATAAACCTATGGGACAGAGGGATATAGATTGCATGCTCCACATTTAGTTTTGGAGCTCAGTCTCGTTGAATACGATACCATGATGTTAGAAGTCTGTACTAGGAACACTTTTCAAATACATTTTTTATATTTCAGATGTAATGCAGTGCATGTTTGACAAATAAAAAACCCATAATTTTTTGAGACCATGCAGGCCTTTTTTTTTCCCCCTCTTTTTGAAAGCGTATGGTGTGTGTAATTGCAGACTACATAATGTATTCCTTTCCTTTCTTTTTTTTTTTTTTTTTTTAGAGAGTGTGCACCCAAGAGCTGGAGGGCTGGGAGGAAGGTTGGTGCAAAGGAATAGGAAGAGAGAGAATCTTAAGCAGGCTACACACCCAGCATGGAGCCTGACGCTGGACTTGATCTCACAACCCTGAGATCATGACCTGAGTCTGATGCTTAACCATCTAAGCCATCCAGGCACCCCTTTCTTTGATTCTTTTAAGAAGTGACTTAACTCTTGGAAATAATATTTGGGTTAGATCACACCTTAAATAGCAAAATATCCCAATTGTGTAATCTTTTTATACCAACCATTTCATTTTATTTTTTTAAAGATTTTTATTTATTTATTCATGAGAGACAGAGGCAGACACACAGGCAGAGAGAGAAGCAGGCTTCATGCAGGGAGCCTAATGGGGGACTAGATTCCAGGACTCCAGGATCACACCCTGGGCCAAAGGCAGCACCCAACTGCCAAGCCACCTAGGCATTCCCCCAACCATTTCGTTTTAGAGATGATTTTGTTTGCCAGTGCCAACAGAATCCCCATTTCATGAGTTTTCAACATGTATCAACATATTCACAAAAATTAATTGTAGTATTCATGTGAAAGGTATTTTTCACTTGTTTACTATTACTGTAAAACTAAATCATTGGTTGAAAATTAACTTTTTGTTAAAGAACTTACTGTCATTTTTCTTCTCAGGAAAGAAATGGAGGGAGGGGATAGTTTACTGACAGATCCTGTCTTGTTCTTCATGAAAATATTATTCCATCTTTCAACTCAAATGACCCAAATACACAGTTCATAAAAATTATTTTGCACACTATGTTAGTCACTTTATTTTTAAAACAATACAAAGTAATAGACTAAAGAGGGAAACTCAAAATCACAAAACCTCTTCAGAACTGTTTTATTTCATCTTCATTTTGAGTTTCTCAGAAACACTTTGATTCCTGCAGATCTTACATTACAGAACTTCTGCAATGCCAAGTAATACAATGCAAACTTTCAGAAAGGGAAGTACTCTGCTTTCCACCAATTTGGCCTATGAAAGACTTGGCAAGAGTGCTCTACTTTCAGATAGGAAGGAAACCTGTATACATCTTACTGGTAAATGTTTGCTTCAACAAGTCACAACACTCAGTTAACTAGTATTAACTCCATGTGAGGAATTTAGAATGAGACCTTCATTAGTGCTTTAATATGACTTACTGTGTTATAAACCTTGATTGCAAAAATACCCTCACTAGTATTTTGGGTAAATGAAAAGTGTGCAACTATGGCTTGACATAAGAATTCCTTCTTAATAGGACAGTTGAAATACATGACTAAGATGTAAAGTATTGAAGTAAGAGGTTTCATATTAGTCTTTAAATGCATTCACACTTTTGAAAGGTAAAATCCAATTTGGCATGCTAAATAAAAACCATGATTCGGAAGATGAGGGGATGTTTTTCAGTAGAGATGAAAGGCTAATTTTACATTAGCTTTAATTTTGAAAAGCAATGCATTAAATAAGTAGGAAAGAAAAAAATGCAACCTAAATCTATTTCAAGAGGCCACTTTAACAATTGATCATGAGAATTATGTTTTAAAGGTTCTTTTGTCAAACATTTCAGAAGGCATATTTGGGAAATGAGAAATTTAAATGTATGTAATAGTCTGTATGTGTAAATAGCCTATATTCAAGTTTTGAGTCCACTCCTGTGTTCAGCATTGATGGGTTAAGAATTTCAGAAACTGCAGGAAGAAAATGAAAGTCTTTATTTTTAAGGAGCTTAAAGTTAAAAAAAGAAAATAGTTGTGTGACATAATAAAGACAAGCAGACTATAAATGTTGAAATTTAAAAAAAAATATTCCAATATGCTGCACAAGTTCACTTGCAATGTTAGAGTTGACAAATTATCAGTTGGTTCGTTCAATGTATGGTCATTTCATATTGTACTCTGCAACTCAAGAGTTACCACAATTTTGGATAACTAGTATATACATTAGTGCTAACCCTCCTTTTGTATTGAGCTTTATAACTGACAAATACTTCCTCCAACATTCTTTTTTTTTTAAGATTTTTTTTTTAAAGATTTTATTTATTTATTCATGAGAGACACACAGAGAGAGAGGCAGACACAAGCAGAGGGAGAAACAGGTTCCATGCAGGAAGCCTGATGTGGGACTTGATCCTGGGATTCCAGGATCACGCCCTGGGCCAAAGGCAGGTACTAAACCACTGAGCTACCCAGGGATCCCTTCCTCCAACATTCTTTACAAAGTGGGTAAGTTCTGATCATCCCTATTCCATGGATTTAGAAATCTATATTAATATATATGAAATTAGCAGAAGTTAAATATTCATAAATTTTATTTAGATCACAATATTGAAACTTAAAGCAATGGAACACTCTGAAATGAGAATAGGTAACTCCAGAAAAGGTGGACCTAATCAACTCCTTTTCTCCTATGGATATTAAGACATCAGAGTCCCGAGGCTTAAGTGCTACCATGGAAGGACCAATTTCCAGTGACCTCAGTTCTCTGGAAGGAGAGGAGTGCAGCAGCATAAGAACTTGCTTCTTTACTCCCACAGTCTTTAGGCCAAGATATTTCCATTTAAAATTTGTTTCCGCTTTAAAGCAGTAGTCACTAGCGGCCGGTTGCTTCCCTTTTTTTGTTTTTTGCTTGTTTTGGTTTCTTTTTAAGTATCCTTTTAAAGGTCTATTCATTTATTTGAGAGAGAACATGAGTGGGAGGGTGGGAGGAGGCACAAAGGGAGAAGAGCATCCTCAAGCGGACTCCTTGGCTTCCACTGAGCATGGGAGCAAAAGCGAGGCTCGATCCCGGGTGTAGCCCACGGAGCGACAAAGGCGCCTCCGGTTGCCTTTTTTAACCGGTGTCGCCTTTTCTTTTAAAACGGGACAGCTACATATACATAAGTTGGGCTTTGTGTGTTTGAACACATTCCAAATTCGTGTAGGTGCACAATGAACCTTATTTGCAGGTTCACGTTACCCCGACCCTGGTGGGAGGCTTGTTTCAACCAACGTTTTGCTGCACACACACACACACACACACACGATGTAGGCTCTAGGTTTAGGGGTGGCCCTTCCGTGATCCATGTATACTCCTTCCAGGAACACAAAACTCCGAACTAGCCCAAGCAGATTTGGCGTATTTCTCTTAATCCGAAGACAAGACGTTATGGGTCCTTTACGTAGGACCTAGGTAAGCTCTAGGGAGGAGTCCGCCTGGCCGCCAGCGACCACACCTCCTAAGGAGATGCTCTAGCATTTGGCGCCCTTACTAAGTGTTGCTCTTTGTATTGCAAGATGAACCACTGCACACCCAGTTTGCAGTCGGGGCTGAAAATGCTAACAGACGAGCCGATTAAAGCTTCACGGCACATACCGCACTATGCCTGGTGCACAACGGATGTTCCTTAAAACTGGGGGTCAGGGGGACCCCTGGGTGGTGCAGCGGTTTATCGCCTGCCTTTGGCCTGGGGCGCGATCCTGGAGACCCGGGATCGAATCCCACGTCGGGCTCCCGACGTGCATGGAGCCTGCTTCTCCCTCTGCCTGTGTCTCTGCCTCTCTCTCTCTCTCTCTCTCTCTCTCTCTCTCTGTGACTATCATAAAATTAAAAAAAAAAAAAAACTGGGGGTCAGCCGCGAGCGCAAGCCTGTCTCCGACCCGGCGTTTCAGCGGCGTGCTGACCCCGTGGCCGTGTCATCTCCACCTCCAGCGGACGCGACCAGGCTGCACGCACCGAGGTCGGGACTGCAAAAACCACGTGCGCAGTGTAACCTACCGCAAAGCACACGATTAGGTTAGTTTTAAGTGAAAAAGGACGCCAAGGCACACGCCGAACGCGACTTAAGAGGCGAGGGCTCCGAGGCACACCGCCCGGCCAGAGTCGAGGCAGCAGCCCCGCCCCGGGCCCTGCAGCTCCGCCCCTGCCTCCCCGCGCTCCCCGCCAGCCGCGGGCAGTTTGGCGTCTGCGCAGTAGGCCTGCCCGGTGCCGCGTGGGAAAGGCGGGACTTCCCTACCAATGCGTCATCGCCCGTGCGACGCAAGACGTCACCCGCTTGCCGGCGAAGGTCAGCAGCGAGCGCTGAGTGGCGGCGCGCGTGCGCGTGGGGTCCGAGGCCGAGCGAGGCGAAGCGAAGCGGAGCCGGCGCTGCTCTGTGACGTCTACGCTTGGCTGAGCCCCGGCGCCGACATGCTGTGGTGCCGGCTGGGCGCCGGGCGGCTGCGGCTGCGGCTGCGGCTGCGGCTGCCGCGGCTCGCGGCGCCCACCTCCGCGGGCGGCCGTGAGTGTCCGCAGTGGGCGCGGGCGGTGGCGTCAGTGTCCGCGGGCGGCGCGGGCGGCCCCGGCAGCTGGTACGAGGCCCTGGCCGCGTCGGCGCCGGTGCGGGGCGCGGAGGAGCTGCTGCTCGGCGTGCACAGCGCCGCGGGCCTGCCGTGGTGGGCCTGCATCGGGCTCACCACCGTGGCCCTCCGCGGCGCCGTCACGCTGCCCCTGGCCGCCTACCAGCACCGCGTCCTGGCCAAGGTGAGGGCCGCCCGCGGCCGGCGCTGCCGCTCGGGCGGTGAGGGGCGCTGGGTGCCCTCCGCGGCCCTGACCTCCCCCCCCCGGCCCGCCCCCGTGCACCTGGGGCGCTCGGTGTGAATCTCGAGACCACCTTCTTATTTATTTATTTATTTATTCATTTATTTATTAATTATTCATATTTATTTATTTATCTATTATTTATTATTTATCTGTCTATCCATTTATTTATTCATCTATTTATTGTTTATCTATCATTTATTTTTTATTTGCTATTTATTATTTATTTATCTTTTATTTATTTTTTATTGATCATTTATTATTTATCTATTTATTATTTATTTATCTATTATTTATCTATATTATTTATTATCTATTATTATTTATTTATGATAGTCACACACACACAGAGAGAGAGAGAGAGGCAGAGACACAGGCAGAGGGAGAAGCAGGCTCCATGCACCGGGAGCCCGACGTGGGATTCGATCCCGGGTCTCCCGGATCGCGCCCTGGGCCAAAGGCAGGCGCCAAACCGCCGCGCCACCCAGGGATCCCCCCAGTTCATCTTTCTTACTAGAAAAAAGCCTGCTAGGCTATAGCCGTCGGCGAACTTGATTCCTTTTTCAGGCTGTGTCACCTACGACTCGGGTTGGCCCCAGCCACTTGGCCTTCACTGCTTCTTTCTCTTCTGTGGAATCAGGAGAGTAATACTTTCCTGGCCTCCTTCATGATGTTGTGAGATCAAGTCAGATAACAGGAGTTAACGTGCTCTGAAAGCAAAATATTACTCAAAAGAGAGGCTTCAAAAAATAATGGTTTTTGTGTTTCCAGACTATTTTTAGGGATGGGGGACCCAGAAACAAAGGAAATCACCAGCACCATCAAGGCAGCGAGGCACTTTACGGAAAGAATTAACACAGCGGAAATAAATGCAGACTTTTTGTGACTCTGTGGTTGTCTTAATAATAGACTTAATGTTTTTCCACTTTATGTTACTCAGAAGTCCAGGGATGAAACAAACATTAAAGTATAGGGTTCAGTTCTTGTTTAATCCTTATAATAATTCTGTGAAGTAGGTGCTGTTAGACATTTTATATATGAGGGAACGGGGTATTAGAGCTTAAATAACTTGCCGAAGATCGCATAGCTAAGACTGTAGGCTGGAATTTGAATTTCGTTGTAACTGAAGATACCGTAAGCAAATGAACACCTTATGCTTAGACTTAAATTTTTTTTTCAGATGATCAGTAAACCACATTTTTTCAGTAAGAGGAATAGAGAGTAAAATGATGAGTGGTTATGAATAAAGATCCTTTATGTACTTCTGACAAATTTTGCTTTTTCTTTAGCTAGGTGGAAAATTTACAGCCAGAAATAAAAAACATTGCAAGGCATCTTAACCAGGAAGTTGCGGTTCGTGCAAATCAGTTGAGGTGGTCCAAAAGGGTTGCCAGGTAAGCTAATTCTAGGACTATAGACCATAACATAGATATATACTGTATGAGTAGTTATATTAATTATAGGTTTGGGTGTTTATAGCTTTAGCAGCAAAGTAGTTCTTTCACTCTTTAATAGTTTAATAAGTGTGTGTGGTGTGGTAGTTTTATACCGTGAACTGAAAGCAAGAAATGGAGAAACAAAGAGCAAGTTCCTTCTTGAGGGACTCCAGAAAAAGACCTGTAGACAAATATGACTGAATTAACTGTTGTAAACAAGGTTATACACAAGGAGCTCAGTCATCGTGGAGTCAGAGAACGCTTCATGAATGAAGATACTGTGCCACTCTGTTAGGATTTTAATCAGCAAATAATACAGATTATTCACACACTTGACCATTTTGGAAAGAGAGATACAGCAGCCCACAAGAAGGGGGAGGTAGAGAATGCTCTACCGGGCCCTGCAGCTATTAGATAGCCAAAGTGCTGTCTATACTGTAGTTAACCTGTGTAGTTGTCTGCCTGGGCTCTGAGAAAGCCCTTATTGCTTGACCATGAATTTTGCAGTCCTGTGCCCGGGGTTATCCACTAGGAACTTCTAAGTCCTCCTCCAATCAGCCTTAGATACTTAGTCAGACTCTAATCCTCACTAGGCTGTGACTAAGTATTCACCAATTCACAGCAACGAGAAAAATAAGGGCTTTATATTGTGTATATATAATGTATATATATGGTTTTCTGTATGTTTTTACCTATCTATACACGTCTAAATTTGCCAAATAGCTTCAATATGAAATTGTTTTTCTCTTTACTTAGTGTTGAAAAGATCTGACATTTAAAAGAAAGTATCTTTACCTGATAAGTTGACAGATGTAACAGTTATGAAGTTTTAATGATCAGATGAATCTAAGAATGATGACTCCAGACCAAAAGAACAAATTAGTAAGCTGTTCATCTGATTTTTAAATGAAGCCTAGACAAGACTGGTACCTTGAGGTACCTGGTACCTCATGGAGCATTGGCAGAATGATCGTCCAGACACATCCTTGCACAGATACATGACTTTCAGGGCAAATACATCTGAGAATTTCTTGCATTTTTCAGTGGAACTGAGTCTTGAAGGATATAAGTGAGTTTGTCAGGTGGATAGCCAGGTAACTGGGCTGTCTACACAGATGACTTAATGACTTCCACATGCATGCTGACATAGAAGTCTGATTAACTGGATAGCCTATGCAACTGTAGGCACCAGAATATACAGGTATCTGTAGAAGAGTAATAAGAAATAAAGTTGGAAAAGTATGCAGAGTCTAAATTATAAGCCTGGAATGTCTGTGTACTGTCTTAGTGCAATAAAACACTACAATTCTATTAACTTGAAGGTTCTTGAGTGTCTACATTGTACAAGACATGCTACAAGACGTTTAGAGATGGATAAGACCCAACACTTGATCTTCAAGGAGACTAGAAAGTGGGACTTAAGAACAGGAATAACTAATAGGGTTAACAGAGAAACAGATTAAGAAAATCTTCATAAAAGAGTTGGCTGAAGAATAAAAACTATTTTGATAGGTCAGGAGCATAGACATTACAAAACCACATTGCTGCAAAAGGTATATTCAGGGATCGAGTAATTAAGCTTGGCTAGAATGGAAGGATTTAAGTTAAATATGCTTTCACTTTTAGAATTCTGATACAAACAGTGGTCATACCATGCCAGTAATAAAGTTTCCCTTGTTAAAATCTAATTGGCCAGAGAGCACCAGAGACAAAGCTTGTAGTTTGATAATGGCAGATTTATCAAATTGTTACATAATTTGAGTACATTGCTAGAGAATCTTCAGTAAAAGACTTTTTTGCCTTTTATTAGGCAAACCTCTTAGTATAATTTAGTGAATAACCACAAGATGGATGTGTCTGTGCTGTGGGTATGAAGCACTGTTAATAATCAGGTGATATTTTCTCCTTTCCCTTTCTCCCTTCTTCCCTCAAACTAGGCTCACTTATCTAAAGAATATGCGGAGGCTTGTTTCAGAGCTGTATGTTCGGGATAACTGCCACCCTTTCAAAGCCACTGTATTGGTCTGGATTCAGTTTCCAATGTGGATCTGCATGTCTGTTGCTCTCCGGAATTTTAGCACAGGGGCAGCACATTCAGAAGGTAGTTATTATAGAAGTCTGTTTCCCCCAAATAAGTTCACTAACATTGTCTTTGTAGTCTAAAGGAGTCTAAACAAAACAAAACAAAAAAAAAAACAAGCAAAAAAAAGTCTCTATACTTTTCATGATTAGAATATTTTTACCATCTTTCTTACAAGGGTATAGATTTTATTTTTTTATTTTTTATTTTTTTAATATTTTTTTAATTTTTTATTTATTTATGATAGTCACACAGAGAGAGATTGAGAGAGAGGCAGAGACACAGGCAGATGGAGAAGCAGGCTCCATGCACCAGGAGCCCGACGTGGGATTCGATCCCGGGTCTCCAGGATCGTGCCCTGGGCCAAAGGCAGGCGCCAAACCGCTGCGCCACCCAGGGATCCCAAGGGTATAGATTTTAAAATACTAACTGTAAGCAAACTAGCCATGTTGAGTAAACAAATTAATCTAGGAAGGTTAATACAGGTTCAAACTGGGTAGGTCCACTTACAGGTATATTTTTACAGTACTATAAATGTATTTTCTCTTCGTTAGATTTTTTTTTTAATTTTAGAAGGGATGGGTTTGCAGGAGAGGGAGAATCTTTTCGTGTGTGTGTGTGTGTGTGTGTATTTTTTTATTGGAGTTTAATTTGCCAGCATATAGTATAACACCCAATGCTCATCCTGTCGAGTGCCCCCCTCAGTGCCCGTCACCCAGTCACCCCATCCCCTCACCCACCTCCCCTTCCACTACCCCTTGTTTATTTCCCAGAGTTAGGAGTGGAGAGGGAGAATCTTAAGCAGACTTCCCACTGGGCACGAAGCCCCACACAGGGCTCCATCTCATAACCCTGAGATAGTGACCTGACCCCAAATCAGGAGTTGAGTGCTTAACCTACGGAGCCACCCAGGTGCCCCTTATGATTTTCTTAGTAGCATTTTCTCTTCTTTAGCTTTTTCGTAAGAATACAGTGTATGGTATATAAGCATACAAATGTTATTGGTAAGGCTTCCAGACAACAGTTGGCTTTCTGTAGTTCTTGGAGAGTCAAAAGTTATACACAGATTTTTTTTTTTTTAAGATTTTATTTTTAAGTAATCTCTACACCGAATATGGGACTTAAATTCACAACCCTGAGATCAAGAGTTACCTGCTCTACCAGTTGAGCCAAGTCAGGCACTTGATACACACATCTTCAGCTGCTCGGAGGGTTGGCACTCCTAACTCCCAGGCTGTTTAAAGGTCAACTATACTCCTTCATGGATGTCAGAAAATTAGTGTTACAATTCCGTAATTCAGTTTCCTGGCCAAGAATTTTTTCCATTTATAAAATTAAGGGACCAGAAAAGCTTTCACAGTTACAAATGTAAACAGTTATTAAGAAACTATAAACTAAAGCATTTGTTTTTTACTTTTACTTAAAGGCATTTCTAACCAGAAAATATCTGAACAGACTTGAAAGAAAGCCCATGGACAAATAGTTATATAAATAGAAATTTGAAGAGAACTGCTACACATCTGTATGCTCCTACATCTGTTTGCTACCGAGAGCTTCTTGCTTCTTTCTCAGTACAGGAAGGACTAATTTATGTTGTGGAATGAAAATGAATGAAACCAGTGCAAGTCTTTAGTGTGAAGGACACCTTATTTGAATCAGACTACTTATGTCTTACGCGTTTTCCTCTGCTACGTTTTATTTATAAAATTGTCTCAGCAGGTTTTTCTGTTCAGGAACAGTTAGCTACTGATGGAATCCTGTGGTTTCCTGACCTCACTGCACTGGATTCTACCTGGATTCTGCCTATTTCTGTTGGTGTCATCAATTTATTAATAGTGGAGGTCAGTGGTTTTTAAATGAGATTTGTTTGCCATTTAATTTTTGGGTTTTTTTGTTGCTATTCCAACATCAAGTATAAATGTGTTTGAGTTGGTAGTGATAGCTCTGAACTAGAATTGAGATTCCTTGTTTTTCTGGTCATTAATCAGCTGTTGGCAAACTCCGCCTGTCTTAGGCCAATTCTTTAACCTCTCTAGGGGCTAGAATGTTCATAATTAAAATGGAAGAGCTGAATTAGAACACTTCCAAAGTCTCTTTCAGCTTTACAGTTATGAATCTAATACACACAATTTTGTGATTTGTTTTGGTAGAGACAGTAATTAAGATGGTTAATCTGGTTTAGTCTCACAGTAGATTGGTATTTTGTGTATATGTTTAAAATGTAAATTTGCAAGCAGGAAACACAGTATCTGATTGTCTTTTTTTTTTTTTTTTAATTGTATGACCCTAGAAAAGTTATAACTTCTTATATGATGGAGTGGAAAAACACATACATATAAAATATGACCTGTCAGCTGTTTCTTACCATTATCTCATTCTGTGTTACTTAACAGTTTAGAGGAAGAAAAACCTTTAATTGTAAAAGGAGCTGTTCGCAGTTGAGTAGAACTTTGAAATGGAGGAAACCTTAGAAATAATCCTTAGAATCTCATCTCACAGACCCATCACTGGTCTCTGTTTGGAAAATTGAATGCACCCCTTATTTTTTCAGATGAGAAGAGTGAAGATGATACTCTAATGTCCTGGGTTAAGGTTTCTTGAGAAAGACTCCATGTGTACTCTAAGTTTGTTTCCCTGAGATCACCTAGCACAATTGAATATGGTTGGTACCTAGTGAATATTTGTTAGAATGAAGGAAGTGATAAACACAAGGTCACAGTGAATTAATATCAATCCTCTAATCTTTCCTTTTACCAACTAATGACCCAGTATATATGTAAGTTTAATAAAAACTTACTCTTACATAATATACACCATGTGACAGGCACTATTATAATCAATTTGCATGAATTAACTCAATTAATTCTTAGAATAATCCTGTGGTGTAGGTACTAATATTATCCCCATTTAAAGGTAGAGAAAAGTGAGGCACAGAAACGTTAAGTAACCTATAAAAGTCACATCACCACTAAGTGCAGGGCTGCTGTGTGAATCTAGGTAGTTTGGTTGTAAAATCTGTGCTCACAATCATTGCACTATTCTGCCTCTTAAGTAAGTTATTCGTATAAAATGATCTTAAACCACAAAAAAAAAAAAAAATGAGTTATTCGTAAGGTATTACTGCTTTTCACAGCTTTTCCTAGCCAGATTCTTTCCCTTACTCCATATAGCCAGATCACAAACCTTTGAGATATCTTTTATGTTCCTTCTTTAAGCCAGGCACTGGTTTAAATGCCAAAACAAGGATAGTGATTCATACATAGCACCTATCTTAAAAGCACTTTTCAGTCTTAAGTTTTTTTTTTTTTTTAAGATTTTATTTATTTATTCATAGAGACCCAGAGAGAGAGAGGGGGGGGGGGGGCAGAGACACAGGCAGAGGGAGAAGCAGGCTCCATGCAGGGAGCCTGACGTGGGACTCGATCCCTAGTCTCCAGGATCACATCCCGGGCCGCAGGCGGCGCCAAACCGCTGCGCCACGGGGCTGCCCTCAGTCTTAAGTCTTTAAGAAAACATTGATTTTTAAAAATTGTGCTGTGATTCTCTTTAATATAGCTGAATCTCCTTTGTTGCTATTAATTAAAGCTCCATTTAATAATTCTGCATAATTAAGTTTTTTAAAAACACCGATGGTCAACTATATACATTTATCAGTGTTTTAATTCTTTTACTTCTATTAAAATATAGGAGGCCAGTCAAAACTCAAGATGTAGTTTAAAGTTTGTCTTATTTAGTATGCTTAATAATCATTGTGTGTTTATTATTCTACCTTCTTAGATTTTTGCCCTGCAAAAAATTGGAATGTCTCGTTTTCAGACATACATTACATACTTTGTTCGTGCGGTATCAGTGTTGATGATTCCAGTTGCTGCGACAGTACCTTCAGTGAGTAAGCACCCCCACTGCGTGTAGCACGTGCTAAATCTAAATCCTCCCTGTGCTTCACTGAGACTGGCTAGGGTTTTGCATCTTCTGTTGAGCTGCTTTGACTGCTAAGTCCCTTACTGGTTTCCAAGTTTCTGTTTCTCTATCACCAAGTGACACTTGACATTTCTTGGGATTGGTTAATCTTTTGTGTGAATGTGAGTTAACTCTCAAGCTCCTTTTTCTTTCTTTCTTTTCTTTACATCTTGCACAGTGCTATAAACATAGCATTTGTTCTGTTTGACTAGTTGAAATACTGAATTCCTTCTGTCTGCATAGAGTAGGTCAAGGAGTTTAGCTCTTAAAAAAGAAACAGAATTTTGTGCCATGTCTATATGGGTTCATATGTAATAATGTTTAACCTCGTAACAATTCAGTGAAGTACACCTGCCCCCATTTATATGCTATTACACTTTGATAGAAATAGGAAAAAATAGTTATGTTTGCAGTTATTTCATATTTTTAGCCTTTTGCTTATTTCCCAGTGATATGTAGTGCAAAGAGGGCAAAAGCTGTCTTAGGTATCATCTCTGTCTCTGCTTCAAGGCCAACACATAGACCATGAAGTAGAATTCATCAGTTGGGGACAGTTAGGGTTATATCAGCATATTCCCAAAGTACTTCATTGTCTTAAGAACCTGGAATAGTACATTTTCAGCATCAAAAACATATTTGTACATTTTACATTTACAGGTTGAGTGCATTTCTGGTGAGAAATTATACTAATTATACCTGAGGAAACTCCCTGATCAAATAAAAGAGCAGTGAATTTTCAGTGAATGATTGGGTTTAAAGTAAGTAACAGAGCTCTCAAAAGCAGTGTCTTAAATACCCAAAAGTTTATTCTCTCAAATGTAGGAAATTTAGAGTTAGGCAATTTCGTGTGGAGCTTATGTGGCAGCTTCATGAAGATACATGAGAAACCCAGCCTGCTTCTCTCACTATGCTCCATCATCCACAGCCTGAGATTCCTATCCTTAAGGCCACAATATGGTCATTATGGCTGCTGGAGCTTATCTTGCAGGAATGGTAAAAGGGTGCTTCAAGTACATTTAGCTCCTTTAGGGAACTTTGTCAGATGTCACACCAAACACTCGTGCTTGCATCTGAGTTACATGGCCACATCTGGTTCCAAAAGGAACTGGATATTAGTCTTTTTTTTTTTTTTTTTTGATGGCCATATACCCAGTTTAAAATGAGAATTTCATTACTAAGGAAGAAGAATTATTCTTAGAAGGCAGTTGTGGTCACCGTAGTTGGTTTCAGAGTACTCTTTGCATACTGGATAAGTCAGATGATGATGATATGATGGCTAATACTCATTCAGTATTGACTTTGTGTCAGGCACAGTTTTAAAAGGTTTATTTATATTAGCTCATATAATTCATCCAGTGTCCACTGAGATAGGTGCTATTTACCATCTCCACTTGAGTGATGAAAAAACTGAGACACAGGGTAAGTATAAGTAGCTCATCCAAGGTCACTCATCTATTAATTGATAATTAATATCACTTAAGTATTTAAGGCACATCCAGCAGTTTGGCTCCTACTCAAAACTACTATGCTAATTTGCTTTGAGGATGTATTTTCTTCCCCTAAAAGTTTGCTTTGGCACAAATGCAGATGCTTAACATGGGCCACATACTGTGCTGATTAGTGTTTGTGAACTATCTCACTTTTTCTTCGCATCAGCCTTCTAAGGCTGGTATAGTTCAGTCCCCATTTTATAAATGAGGAGACTGAAACAGAAGGAAAATAACTTCCCTGGAATCAAATAAATGGAATTCCCATTCAGGTAGTTCAACTCCAAGACCTAGACTCAGCCACCACAGGATCAAACCTCTGTGGCCTGGTCACATTCTGATGCCAAAGAATAGTTTGAATAGATATATGTGTGGGAATACTTTGAGAGGTTACAGAACCTAGTCAACGACCTAAATAAATCACTCTGAATGGAAGTACAGAAGAAAGTTGAAGATGATGTGAGACTGTCTCTGAAAAAGGCAAAGATGATGCCTTGTTGCCCATACTTAGAAACCAGTTACTGGGAAAATTTGAGGTGATAGATAGTTGTGTGGAGGAAAATGCAGTCTAGGAAGCCTGAATGGCTGTGCCCCCAGGACCCCACCTCCAGTGTAACAGCTTGTCAAGACTCTTGGTTGGGGGAAGGATGCTGAATTGCCACAGAGGGGCAGGGAGATCTCTCTTGACCCCTGCCTGGACCCTGCTCTCTGTTGCCCGCGTTCTATCATGACTACCTCTCTGCTTTGCTTTCTTGTCACTTTTTGGTCCTTTCAGCCCTCTTTCTTGCCTATTAAAGCTGTCACAGGTATTGAATAGCTGCCACATATCTCATGAAGTGCTGGTCCACTGCTGCTTTTGCCCACGTTGTCATTTTCTCTTTTATTGCCTGCTAGTCTCTAGACATCAGTGTCCTTGGACAGTGAAGAAGTACCAAAATTCATGTCCTTTCTTCTCTTTCTAGTCGATTGTACTCTACTGGTTATGCTCCAGCCTCATGGGGCTTTCACAGAACTTGCTGCTGCGCTCTCCTAGATTTCGCCAGCTTTGCCGAATACCGTTGACCAAGTCAGATTCAGACTCTCCTTATAAGGACCTCTTTGCTGCCTTTTATACCAAGTTCATTTCAAGAAAATGACATGCTTTCCAGTAATTTTGAAACAATTGCAAGTGTTACTATCACAATATATTTACGTTTAGAAATTCAGGTGTGATTTAATTTGTTTTTATTTAAAATCATGAATTGTAGAAGTACTGTGGGTTAAGATACAATCCAAATATATTTGACAATACTTAAAATTTTTTAAGTGCTAGAATTTTATGTTTAATTGTATTCAAAAATACAAAAGTAGATTGAAAGTGTCTGGTTCTGCTTATAAAATTATAACTTACTAGAGGTGCCACAACTTTGGAAAACAGGATCAAATACTGAATGATGTCAGATTATACTGACCAGTCTCCTACATTAAAGTTTTATAAAGTAAGAGAATCCGTTGAGGTGGTTCTTAAAATTTTGGAGATGTGGAGGATCATAGACCCATTTATTTGCTAAGGCTACAGCTTTCTTTTCAGGAAAATCTTGGGACTCACAACATGGGGACCTTCGTTGATGACCTTTTCCTTCCCCCTGTCCTGAGGCTTTCTGGTCATTCCTGGTTGAGAAATCTTATTCTAATTGGACACGCAATGATGATGAGTTAATGTGTGACTTTAAAAAAATGAACGAAATATATGCAGTAGATTAGTCCTTATAGGAAAGTACCTAATATCATAGGTGATGTTGCCTTTCAACCCTGCTCTGAAAGACTACAAGAAGGGTGCGTTCCTTTTTCTATCACTTAAGAAGACTGGACTAGAGGATAGCACTGAGTACAGCTAGAGCCCAAAGTGGGAAATCTTAAGCATTGAGTTTGTATAGTTAAAGGAAGAAAATCAGAAGGGCAGCTACCTACTATGGAGGTGATTTTATAAACTATTTGGAAGGATTAAGTATTCTAGTGGGTTTAAACTATCATAGGTGCTTAATATAGAAAAAATTAACAGATAATATAAATTGTGGATCCAGTTTTTTGCTTGTTCGATTTGAAAAGATGATAAAACTAATCACAGTTGGGTTATCTATGAATAAACTTGAGAAGATTGTAAATTACAAATTTTCATTTAGTTGAAATATGAACCTGCTTTTGAGATGCCCTATCATCCCATCTCATGTTTCACAATTAAACGAAAACTAATGTGGAATTAATTAGTCATTTCTTGAGGAATGTCTGTTAACGTCAGGAATGTCAGCTTTTGGGGCTGTCACCTTACCAGGAATTTAGAGGTAGCAGTTGGGACCTGGTTCTCTTCTTGACTTCCCAGTTCTGGTTCATGACTGCTCTACTGAGGTAATTGTCCAATCTCAGTGAAAGAATTGAAACCTATGTGCAATCAGTCCTCATGCACAGACTTCATATTTGCCGGTTTGCCTACTCACTAAAATTTATTTGTAACCCCCAAATCAGTACAGTGCTTTTGATGTTATTTTTGGACAAACAGTGGCAAAAATTTGAGTCATCCAAGGTGTGTTCCCAGCTAGGTCAAACAAGGCAACTTCTTGTCGTCTCTCATACTGTGTAACCAAGTGTCCTTTGTGTGGTGTAGTGCCATATTTTTTTTTTCATTTTTGTGCTTTTTGTTGGTGATGTCACTATTTAAAATGGTCTCCAACTGTTGTCATGCTAAGGTGCTATCTATATTTTCCAGGCACAAGAATGCTGTGGTGTTCCCTAAGGAGAAAGTAACCCCTACATTAAATAAACTTCATTCAGGCTTGAGTTATGATGCTGTGTTAGCCATGAGTTTGCCATTAAGAAATCAACAACATATTGTAATGATGAGTTGGCAAAAATGTGACAAGGTGCACAGGAACATAACCCTGTATATTCTCTAAGGGCAGTGGTTTAGTGGTTACTAACTGTTCGTGGTAACTTTTAGAATATAACTACCTCAGATAACAAGAATTGACCTTTTGGAACATGTACAATCAAGGGAGCAGAGGCAGAAATGTGTATACTGGTTGTTTTATAGCAAAAAGAGGAAAGGGAATTTGGGAAAAATTTGTCTGTCTCTGGTACAAGTCGAGTCTGGCCATGGTTGTCTTTGGGTACTGATTCATATATTTTTCTCACAATTGGTTGAGGGAAATCAGCCCTCTTCCCCCATCTTATTCGAAGAAGTTTGTCACTTTCTGAAAGAAATAAAGGAATGCTGTGACTCCCTTTTCCATACTTTATCTTGTTTACTTTGATTCCCCTTGATTTCTAAATGTACACTTAACATCTTTTTGTTTTGTTTTGTTTTGTTTTTTTCAGACGAATAGCTTACCTTGTTTCCTATTGCACTCCTGTTCTCAAACATTTTTGAACTGCTTTGAAAATTTGTATAAATTTGGGATGCCTGGGTGGCTCAGTGGTTGAGTGTCTGCCTTTGGCTCAGAGTGTGATGCTGGAGTCCCGGGATCCAGTCCCACATCAGGCTCCCTGCATGGAGCCTGCTTCTCCCTCTGCCTCTGTCTTTGCCTCTTTCTCTCTCTCTCTGTCTCTCATGAATAAATAAATAAAATCTTTTAAAAAATTGTATAAATTTGAGAATACAAGATCCTTCCTCTCTGACCTCAAAATAATTTCTGGTAGGTTTGGAGGTGGATGGGATCTTGGAAAATTCTCATGAATAAAGAAAACTGATACATGATGAACTGAAGTGAATCAGTCGCCTGACTTCAGGCTGGTAAATGTTTGTCTCATTCCTTTCTCCAGGCATATTTTTAGTAAATGGCAAGTCATGTTTTAGAAAATCCCAAGTCTATGGTCTTTGATCTTATTTCCCAGGCAGAGTCTGTCATGGTCTGGAACACTTCTAGAGCATGAGGTCAGGCGAGGTGGATACTGGATGGGGAACAAGAGGACACACACACTGTAAAGATCCCTTGACAACTTCCTGTTGGATGCTTCTCTCCTGCTGAGGGACTGGCAGAGCCCTGTCCTGGACCCTACAGCGTTCAGGAAATCTTTTTTTGTCTTTAAAGATGGAGACCATTGTCTACATGTCTGTAACCCCCTTCCTTCTCTCTGAAAGGGGGTCTTTTTGCAGATGGGCCTTATTTTTGTGTCTTAGGCCAAAATCACTTTTTTTATGGGTGTCTCAGCCCAAGAGTGAGGAAAGGTGACTCATTTCTGGATCAATTTCTGTTACACCATTAAGATAGGAGAGCTCAGACATATGTTAGGAGATAGAACTGGCATACCTGAATAACCCAAAATTAGTTTCCCTGGAAGCATTGTGAGAGTAAACCTGCACAGCCCTATCTTGGCCAGATGTCATAGGTGGAAAGATGACATTTATTTTAAGATTTTTATTTATTCATGAGAGACAGAGGCAAAGACATAGGCTGAGGGAGAAGCAGGCCCCCTGCAGGGAGCCCAATGTGGAACTCAATCCTGAATCCCAGAATCACACCCTGGGCTAAGGGCGGACACACAACCACTGAACCACTCAGGCGTCCCGAAAAGATGACATTTAAAAGTAAAATATCGGGATCCCTGGGTGGCGCAGCGGTTTGGCGCCTGCCTTTGGCGCAGGGCGTGATCCTGGAGACCCCGGATTGAATCCCATGTCGGGCTCCCGGTACATGGAGCCTGCTTATCCCTCAGCCTGTCTCTGCCTCTCTCTCTCTCTCTCTCTCTCTCTCTCTCTCTCTCTCACTATCATAAATTTAAAAAAAAAAAGAAAAAATCCTTTTGAAAAAATAAAAGTAAAATCCGTGATGGCCACCTTCACAGATAACCCAGGAGAGGTTTCAAAACCTCTTAGAGAGCAAGCCTTTCTAGGTTCCTTCAAAAGCACTCAAGAGCTAAAGACCAAACCCTTACATCTCAGAAGAGGTACAGTCAGTTCTAGACAATAGGGGGGAAATTGTTTCTGGGGAAAAGTGGAAAAAAATGAGGGCCCAAATACACCTCAGTATTTTCTCTCTTTTTACTCCTATGCTTAATTCATCCATGTGTCTTCATAGATTTCTCCTAGGATCCCAGGAATCACTTCTTATTTGAGTTTTTTTTGAAAATGGCCTTTTAAATGACTTTAATACCAGATTAAGCCCCAAAACAGTAGAAACTCAAATCCTAGAAACAAAGAATCTGGTTCGTTTTCCCCCCAGGGTGATAAGTGAAGTTATCACAGAATGCAAAATTAGGATTTCTGGTATGATCTATGAATCCATGCAAGAATTTAGGTTTCTGTATTAAAGCTCAGTATGCAAATATGATGCAAAATATGAGACTGTAGTTACAATAGGCCATCATTATCGATGCTCACCTCTTTTTATGAGCTGATTCTACCAGGACATTGATTATCTGGAAATTATAGGAATCCATAGAAAATTTTCCATTTGAAACTTAGGAATATGAAGTTGCAATAACTGATATTTTCTAATTATACTGTATTTTTTGAAATCAGTATTTTGGGACATTTGAATTTGTGTAGTATTAAAACCCATAGATATTTCTGAAATTTCGGACTTCTGTATTTTAGCAAGTAAAATAAGAGCTTATGTTCATATATATTTTTAATGTACTCATTTATATGAATTTTCATCCATGAACACTTCAGGCAAAACGTAAAGACTATTTTTACATGTGTTTCTAATCATATGAAATACAAAGATCAAAAAATGAAAAACTGATAAAGTGAAAAACTGATACTGTAATCAAACTAATGCTAACTGGGGGAGTCCTTTTTTATTTTTGTTTTTCCATCATGTTTTCTGTTTTCATAATGATCAAATTATTTTATGTTTGTATAATTCTTTTATTGTTGAAGATATTTCTGTATCCACATTTTTTTAAGTTTTAATTCCAGTATAATTAATGTACAGCATTATATTGGTTTCAGGCATACAGTATAGTGATTCTACCATTCTATACATTTTTTTTTAAGATTTTATTTATTTATTCATGAGAGACATAGAGAGTCAGAGACACAGGCAGAGGGAAAAGCAGACTCCATACAGGAAGCCCAATGCAGGACTTGATCCCAAGACTCCAGGATCACAACCTGAGCCAAATCTTTAATAAATAAATAAAAGTGTTCATACAGAGGCCTTGTCTAATGCTTAGAACAGTAACTTTTTGCTTTGCTGTAACTTGAACATGAGAGAGATAGTGACACAACTGTCCCTAAGGAATAGATGTAGAGAGAACCCTGGCCCCTTGTGTTCGACCACTGATTGCCTTCTGGACTGCCCTGTATTCTGGTAAGTTTTACAAAGTAGTCTTACCTTTAATTGCCTAGTCCTGTACTGCTGATTTTATTTAATAAGATGAGGGCTTCTGGGTGTTTGGGAACAAAAGCATTATGTAAAGATCTGAAATAAAACTAAAAGTGCTCCAAGAAAACAGTCACTGAGTTATTCTAAGGCAACAAAAAGAAATTTCTATTCTTGAAAGTCTCTGCTAACTCGAGGGCCAAGAATTTCATGAAAAGAGGCTTCCAAGGAAAGTGCCCAATTTCTCTTTCCCGTTTTGAGAAAATATCACAGGTGTGCTTCTTTCCCTGTGTCCCCGATAAGGCAATTTATATTTGTTTTGCCTTGGCTGGGAAGGAAGCACTGTATTTAATTTAGCTTTGATTTGTGTCTTCTGGCTAAAATGGAGCTCCCTAGGGAAGCTTAAAAGGGATTATGAAATATATATACCTAACCATAGTCCTTTCATTGCAACTGCATTTCTGCCTGTTTACCATAGTACAAATAATTTGAGGAATTTCTTCTAATTATAACTTCAAGCCTCCTGGATCTTCTGTGAGTGGTGGATGCTTCTGAGGGCAAGGAGTTAAAAATATAAATTCTATACCTATGAGAGAATTAACAGGTTCATATTCCATACTATTTAAAATTTATTCTATGTGTTGCAACAGGTAATAGATTCTCATAAAGTTTTATAGAAGCTTCCATTGCACTTGAGTTTTCAAATACGAATGTTCTGTTTGGGGATCCAAATAAAAACTACAGTTGCCATTTAAAATAATTACAGCTGCATCTTTAAAAAAAATAAAAAATAAAATTACAGCTGCAACTGAGTATATATTTTGTGTTTTTTTGTTTGGTTTTTTAAAGATTTTATTTATTTATTCATGAGAGACACACAGAGACAGAGGCAGAGGGAGAAGCAGGCTCCCTGCGAGGAGCCTGATTGTGGGACTTGATCCTGGCTCTCCAGGATGATGCCCTCAACTGCTGAGCCACCCAGCCGTTCCCCAAGTTTAGATTTTGAAATGAAGTATCTTCTTTCTCATCCTTAACTCTTACCTACCTGATAACGTGTTATTTTACTTTGAAATACAGCTGATTCACAGCATTCACAGATTCATATTTGTGAATTCATCTACTCACTAAAATGTATTTGTAAAATACGAATGGTGGGGCACCTTGGCTGGCTCAGGCTGTATAGCATAAGACTCTTGATCTTGAGGTCATGCCCCACACTGGGCATGGAATTTACTTTAAAACAATAAAACCTAAATCGTCCAGTGCTCACACTCAGCTAAGATCAAATGAGGTGACGCTGCCTTTTTGTTTTACCCCTCATACTGTAAATAAGTGTCTTATGGTCTATTTAGTACCATATTTTTCTCATTTTTATCTTTTTTATTGATGATTTCTGTTTAAAATGGCCCCCAGACTCAAAGTGCACAAAAGGTATGGTGGTCTCACAGAGAACACACATACGTTGGTATCATAGCCCGTAGGTTCGGGGCTCAGTCCCAAAGGACTGCCGCC